GTGGATGATGAGGCTCCTTACAGCCCAGGTCCAGCCTGGGACACAGGTGACTTCTGTGGCCCCCATAACAGCAGATCCAGAGGCAACAAGGATTCTGATGGAAGCAGTTGCAGAAGTGGCAGGGGGTCCCAAAACCTGGGTCCAGCAAGGTCTGGGAACACAACTGGGGTCTGAGGCCAGCTGCAGTAGCAGGTCCAGTGGTGCCAAGGGGCCCTGCATTCTGTGGCAGGCCAGACCCCCTAACTTCTAATATCCCACTGGTGGGCCAGAGAGAGAGGCTCCGCAGGCTGTTTGATACTCCCAATTTAAATCTTACCATAAAATAATCAGGTCCTCTTCCATACCAGTAGCACTACAAAACGTAGTGTCATCTGCAGATTTTATGTGGACACAGCAAATTCCTGTACCAAAGTCTCTAATAAAATTGTTAAATGAGATAGGTTCTAAGATTGATCCCTGAGGAACATTGATAGGAACTGCTCTCCAACCAGATGACTTGCCTTTCATCAGTGCCTACTCTAGTCTCCCTTTGAGCCACCCCTTTATCCACCTTGCAATTGTGGTATTGATCCCCATCCTCTCTTGTTTGGTCAATAATTTTCCATGAGGCATGGTATCAAATCAGCTTAAATCTAGATAAATTTAGTCCACTGAATAACTCTTGTCCAAGAAGTCATTTATCTTGTCATAGGAGGATATTGCATTATGCTGAATCACAGAATCTTCAAAAAGCAGGACCTGGAAGGGACCTCCAGAGGTCATCTAGTCCAACCCCCTTCCAGAGACAGGGTCATCCCTATCCAAACCATCCTATACAAATGCATTCCTAATTGCTTTTAGTCCCATTTTCTGCTTACCCCTATATATTTGAGTATTCTTTCCTTTGATATGTATTCTAAGACCTTACATAAGTCATCATGGGGATTGGTGTGTAGTGATGCACACTGTCCTGGCTGAGAGGCTGAAGGGCCCCAGGATCATGTCCCTGCTGCAGAGATTGTTGTGAAAGGAGGCTCCTGTTCAGTCACTTCTCCCCTCCTTCCTAGCATGCAGCAACACTCTGAGAACCCCTGGAGTTTTCCCTGGCTAGCTCCCTAAAAATGCTGTCACAGATTCCTTGCCCCTTCTCACAAATCAGGAAGGAGGATGGTTCACACATGCCTCTCTCCCAGCACACTTTGAGCACCAAGCTAAGCTGTGGAGGCAGGGGAGAGACTCCATAATGGATGTGTTGTATTGTCATTAGTGAGCACTAATGTGTCTGTAATTAGCCATTGACACATGCTCTTGTCGCTATGCTAATACCGCTCTGTTAGAACAGTGCAGCTAAATAAGCTATGAATATTAAATGTCAGTAATTGTATGAATGTAAGGCTGCTGTGTCTGCAGCAATTAACAGTTCTGGTTTCATTCACAGTGGTCGAGTTGTATGCAGGTGGAGAGGGATGAATCTGTGTTTCTGGTTGAGGAAGAAGGTGTATTTCTGGCTGACTGACAGAGCTGAGAGAGGACTGGTTGCTTGACCCTCCTCCCTAACCAGAGCTGTTAAATGGGGACCATGTAACTGACATTCTTTGTCAAAAACTTTGGCCTCTCCCTATGGAAAGAACAGGAGGGTATTATACCCAGAGTGATCAGTGATCACTCCTTGCAGACCCTCAGCTGCTGGTCAGCCCTTCCAAGCGCTCCATAAAAGCCTTTCCTTAAGCTTCAGTGGTGTTACCTTGATTGTTTTACCTCTTAGAAACTTTAAGAAAAAAGAATGTCCTTAAGTGATTGTGCTTCCCTTTCAGCGGACTCACGTTTGTCCCTTGTGGTGGTTTGAATGGAGTTAGGCTGGTTTCATGAAACGGACTGTAGTTCAGAATCTCTCTCTCTCTCTCTCTCTCTCTCTCTCTCTCTCTCTCTCTCTGCCCTCCCTAGAAACCCTAGGAGCTAAAAAAGTGACCGCATAAATTGGGCCTCAGAGGTACCCCCACAAATCATATCATGTGTTCCCCACTCCTTAACCATCTGCCTTTGAAGAGAATCTCTAGCTCCTATCTACACTGAGTTCTTTCCCAAGGTCCTGATCTCATTCTTTCTGCCCACAGCATCTGCCATTACAGCCGTCTCTTCTGGGAGTGGGGGGAAGGTGTCAAAGTGCATGACTCGCAGAAGAGGCAAGATGCAGAGAAGCTGTCGAAGGAAGATGTCCTGTCCTTCATCCAGGCACACTGCCCCTGACCCCACCCGAGCCCAGCCCAGCCTGGACTCGTCAGGGACTGACTAGACTGGAGAGACTCTGAGACAGGAGGAGGGAGTCTTCAATCCAGGAGCAGTGGGTCTTCCATGGAGAAGAGAACTGACTTGCTGGCAGTCCCAGGAGTTGGGGATTTGGGAATTCAGAAGATGCAGAACAAGGCTTCAGCTATGAGACCAGTGTATATAGGTGTCTGGCCCAGGCAGCACTAGTTCTGAATACCCTAGAGGAAGAGCTGAGTTCAGATGCTCTTCTCTTCTGACCCATTGCATGCATGAGGCTGAGGTGCAGGAAGCTCTCCCCATTCCTGCTCAGATTTACAGCCAGGCTTGTGGCCCTGTGTATGCCAGAGCAATTTGGAGACTGCATCTGGCTCTCTGGCAGCACAGAGGAAATGGCAGGATTATGCCCGGGCTGCAGGAGAGGTGTGATCCAGAGAGAGAGATGACATAGAAATAGCTCTGTAGTGCTGTCAGCAACCATCTCTGTCTCCTTTGGCCTGGCAGGCCTATGCCACACACTGGGGTGTCTCATCGGGGGATATTGGCTCTTGGGACATGAGGGCTGTCTCCTGTCAGTGGCTACAGCACTTCCATTTTGGAGGTGCTGGGCCAGTTGCCAGGGGTGTCTCTGTGATAGTATCCAGGTGTGGGGAGCTCCATGGCATGAATGACTTTGGTGTGTTCAGTGCCAGCTGTGGCACTGAGACAGCAGGAGTTAAGCTGATTCTACAGGGGGAACTTCCTCATATCATCAGAGCTGTCACCCCAAAAAATTCCCTCTAGGTCAGTAAGTAACCACAGCCTAACCCTCCAGGTGCAAGCTTGTGAAAAATGCCACAAGACCCTGCTGAGATGAAGGTGGTTTTGTTGCTTGTTGGTGCTCAGAGTCATTGCCTGGGGCTCCTGGCAAAGCAAATGAGGGAAGACTGGGGTTTTTCAATGGAAATTCAGGACATGCCTGGCTTGGTAAAAAGGTCCCAGAGCATTGAGAGAATTTGATTTTGCCTGGAGTAGATAGTCAAGAGAGCTCCTATTGCCCAACTAGGCCAGTTGTAGTGAAAACCAGAGCTTTTCTTTTTTAAACCTCCATATAGGCTTTCAGAACTCCAATGTCTGGTGCAGACCTGGGGTCCCATCTAGAATGAATGCACAAAACCACAACTCTCAGATGACAAGACAGGATCATGCATGTTTCAGTGAGCAGAAATGGCAGTCTATTTCTGGGCTGGGCTCCCAAATGTCATGTAGGCCAGGCTGTCACAAAGAGCAGGGCTGACCCGTGTTGCATGTTTTAACTTTGGGCTTCTGCAACACCTTTGGCCAGGTGTTCCACAGATGACAGAAGCCCCCACACAAGCTGGCTGCACCAGCCATGTGGCAAAGTCACTGTAGTTTTTTTTTTTTATTATTATTATTTTTAACAGATTGGACTAGGATTGCCTCAACTGTGCCTTACAGAACGCTGTGGGTCTCCTAGGAGCTAGAAGCAACCATTTAGATTCTGACCTCCTGTCTTCCCTCTCCGGCCCCTTCTCCCGTCTTGCCCATGCAAGATTGGGATGAAGACTAGGTCAGGCACACACATGAGCTTGTAGGGGAAATTCACCCCAGGCAGAGAGGTCAGCAAGAGGCTTAAGCATTAAGTCCCTCATGCCCTCAGCATAAGTAGTGAACAGACCTTGTGCTGTTTTTTCTGTACGGAGGGGATTTCACCCCAAAGGTGTGCCTGTACAGCACCATGCAGTGCCATGTAGAGATACCCAGGTAGGCTCTGAAAGTGTTAGTTCATGTACCAGAAGCAGTACTTGCATGCCTGATTTGCCCGTGTGGTTAACCTAGCTGTACTGCTTCTGGTCTCAGGTATCTCTGCAGCATTGTCTAAACAGAGCCTAAGTAAATCGGTTTAATTTCCAAGCTTGCAGCCCTTCCTGTATCTATACAATTGGTTTGTATTCAAGCATCCATTTGGGCATCCCCTCGTTGCTTGTACTTGAGTTTAATCACTGCTGGCTTTGTTGCTCTTACTTTGTAACATTGATCTGTGTTCAGACTTGCTTGCTGTAGACTGGTGACTCTACGCAGCTCTCTCAGCCTGGGGTTAATGCTGACCTTTGGCCACCAGGGCACCAAGACTGGAGGAAGCTGAAGTGTCAGTCAGCCTTAGAAATGGTCAAAGCCCATGTTGTTATTAGGTGCTTCCTCCAGAGAAACCTCCTATTCTCACATGGGCAGATGCCTCCCTTCCAAGCTTCAGGGGACCATGGTGGGTTGGGGATGGGGTGGCCTTTCCATTAAAGCCAACTACATTCTTCCCCTTTGGCCACCAGCAAGCCCCGATCATGGATACACCTTCCAAAGCATACATGGGGCCACATAGTACCCTGATGTGGCAGAGCTTAGCCTTGGTATATTGTGGGACATGGTAACAGGGCTCTTAATCCTTGACCCAGCATTTACTCTACTGGTCATTTAAGTTTTAATGAAGGTTTTTCCACAATATGCAGCAAAGAGACTGCAGGTGGGGGACATGGCACCTCAAGCTGTGTCACTTTACAGCCTTCGTGCTTCTGGCTTTTTAAACTCTTCATTTGTTGTTTGGTGCTTCTAACAAATCCCCTGAGGCTGACATAATACCAGCAGGCCACTTTGTCAGAAGCATTCCCTTTCCTATGGCATTTCATTGCAATACACGTGTTTTCTGCACCCTCAGGGGCCTGGCTCCCCCACACAGGGCCTTGCTTTCCAGCATGGGTGGGTATGGAGCATATCATGGCAGGAGTACACTGTGTACAGTGCAGATCTCCAGTGTAAGTAAAGCAGTGAAGGAAATGCACTTGCCTGCAGGCTGGTTTTATAGATGCTTCCTAATTTCCCTTGTGCCCCAGCTTCCTTCTGATTTTATCTTCAAGGGATTTTTTTATTTTTGTTTTCTTTTTTTGGATGCACTGAAACAGCTCCCAGCCCCTTGTGGGAGGGCAGGGTCAGCAAATTTCTATAGGGCAAATGTGGAAGGAGTGCTGTTAGGGAAAGGTGTTATATCACTTGTCAGCTCCAAGTCCAGACCCTCCCATTCCTATTCCTCATCTTAGCCTGGGAGCTCAGGGTTATGCTTCAAAATGCCTTGAAGGAACTGTTCTGTTCAAAAGCCAGGACTTCTGATGGGTCAGACTTCTGCATGCCCATTATTGGTGTGTGAGTTACAGCAGCTCAGCCCTAGTATGGGTGAGGGAGGGGCTTCATCTCATACAAATGACTTGGCATCAAAGGGGCTAGTAGAAACTTTGGCTTTGGTGAAAGTGGTCTGAGCTATCCTCTCCCACCGGCTCCAGGGCACGAGGAGAAGTGCCTCATTGAAGAGAATGTGTATGTGTGTTAACTGCACATTGTATCAGGCTCTCTATCACTTTGTGTTGATTTCTCTGCTTTAGTTGTCTCAGTATTACCAATACAGCCCTTCAGTTCACAAAGGCACTTGCCATATCTGATCTGTGGCTTTTCTGACCAGGAAGAAAGCAAAGCTGGAAAGGTTTCGACTTGCCCCAGGCTACTAGTACCATTAAAGGAGAGTAGTTTTGATTCAGTGCTGTGCTCTTGTTCCACAACTCATCCCTCTGAAGGAAGAGCAGGAGAGGCAGAAGCTAAGTGCATTTGCTCCTTCATGTGGTCACACAAAGCATAATTTAAACTTTACTTCAAAGTTTATTTTAAAATATTACACAGCAGTTTGCATTCCTGTGAGCTCAGCAGGCCCTTGACTTTAAACCATCATGTGCAGTGTCAGAGACTTGTCTCTGGGATGTGCATAGGTACAGACCTCTCAAACCCTCCCTCTTTCCCCCCCTCAAAAAAGTCCTGAGGTTCAGGGATCAGCAACTGTTTATATCTCTTACTCTTAATTAATTTATTTGAGCTGCAGAGAGTCAGCCTAGTCCACAGAACTGCCTTTGTCAGACTGACTCCTGGCCCCATTAGTGTTGGTAGGAACATGCTTTAAAATTACTAAACATGCTTGGGGCTTCTGGCAACCTTGGCAAAGGGACTAGGGTCTAAGTTTCAGTGATTGGTCCCTTGTGGCAGAGGTACAGTAGTAGGGAAGCTCTCTCCAGTTCTTGGCAGGCTGAGCAGAGAGGATTTCAGGCTCTAGGACCTTTCAAAAAGCAGCCAAGGTGCAGGGAGGGAGGGCCCTGCCCCCGAAAGGGGAAAATAGGCCTTTCCTCCCCCTGGTCACTTTATACTGGATGAGATGGCTGATCTGCTTTGGCTGTTGGTGACCGCGTCTCCTCTCCTCTCCTCTCCGACCCTCTGCTGTTGGGCACAAGGATGCCCAGGCCAGGGAGCCTGCAGATGACAATAGAGGCACAGCAGTTGGAACACCTGATTATACTTGCAGGAAGGCACTTTGGTGAGAGGAGGGAGAGATATTTGCAGCACCCAGTGCTGCAGGTTCTTCAACACAATCACATGGTCCAGCAGACATAAATAACAGTGATGAGCAGCATCAGGGCCATGGTAAGGGCTGCATTCTTGCGGTTTTCCTTACGCAGAATTCTCAGTTCTTTCTCTGCAAAAAAACAAACAACACACTTGGTGTGAAAGGCCACTTCCCTCCTATACTGCAGCACGCCCCCCCTCACAGTGCCTGCTACCTCAGGGCAGGATTACCACCCACATTAGCATGGGGTAATTCCTCTGCAGTTGTCAGCTGCCATCCTGGTGCAGCTACCTACTGGAGGCTGAAAGGGCCATCCTCCTCCCCTGGAGATGGTTCCTGTGTGAAGGTGAAATGAGAGCTGGCCCTACCTTCCTGTACCTTTTCTGAACAGGCCTCCCAAGCTCTCAAATCTGGCATCTTTCATGAGCCACTATAAGAAATAAGCTTCCAGTCTCCTCTGTGTGTCACAGACTCCAAGCATGTATCCTTCCCTGGCTGAGCTTCCCATTGTGTCTCAGTTAATGTCTGAATCAGGACACAACTTGTGCTTCAAGCTCTTGTAGCCTTGGGCAGTCAGCAGCACTGGCACTTCCTGTTCTGGGAATGATGAATGTATTTGGCTGTCACCTATGCAAGCCACTGCCTCTACCCTAGCAGTGCTCAAAGACTTCTGTGAGCCTCACGACATCCCCTCAGATGTGCACATCCAACCCTTCCTGATCTCAGGAGGCTAGCCCCTGGAAAGTGAATGGAGGATGGTTCTAAGCCCAGCATACTTGTAAAAAAAACAATGGGCGCAGTTAGATGAATAACCATTCCACTCGTCTCCAAGTGTTTTGTAAAGGCAGGTCAGTGCTGGTAATTCCGTTTTACAGTGGGAAAAGCTGAGGTGCAGAGAAGTTCAGGGACTACCAAGAGCAGGCAACAAATCTGTGGCAGGGCACAGAGCCCAGGAGTCCTCCGTACCAGTACTCTGCTTTACACAAGATCAAAATCCTACACTGGGCAGAACTATTCTCTTCCTGTGCTATTGAGTGAAACAGCAGCAAGCTATCTGCATTGGATATGCCAGGCTGGCCAGCAGCTCTGGCACAGCTGCCCTATGGCAATCTAGTAACTGCATGGTTACTGCAAGGGTAGGCTGAGCTCTCAGGGCCATTTGCTGGCTAACAGGGTCAGCATTGCTTGCTGTTGTTTGAGTGCAGTGCTCTGTCAGTGCTGCCAGAGGAGTCTGACTTCAGCTAGAGCAACAGCAGCCTGCTTGCCTGTTCTACCAGCCCCTAAGGAGAGGTCAGCATGCATGTGCTTTACCAAGAGGTGCCCTCACCAAAACCCACTTTTAAAATGAGAGTTGAGCTCCAGTTCTAGGTCAATTCCCAACTTGGCAAGCGCTGCTATTGGGTGCTTCAGTCAGTAGCATGTGCTGCGTCTCTCCGGAAGCCACCTGCGTCTCCTGAGCTATCAGGCACGTCTGACCCTGAGGACAAACTCCTATCTAGAATGAGCTGCTTGGTTCTGTAACTCCCCAGCAGGTGGCAGCACAACCCAGGCAGCTGGAAGAGTGCAGTAGCCCAGTAGGGGCCAACCTTTTTGACAGGCGTGCCACATATTATTACCCTCTCGCCTTTCCCAAGTGCCACTGTGCTCCATTTCCCCTGCCCAGTCTCCTTCTCTACTTCCTGCTCTCCCTGCCTGACCTGCTATTTTGATTCCTTCTTCATACCTGGTGTTCCCTACCTGATCTGCTGCTGGTGCTTTCCGCTCCCTGCCCACTCCCCAACCTGTTGCACACCACACATAAAGCCTGGCCATGCCACTTGTGGCGCTCATGCTGCAGGCTGGCCACCCCTGCAATAGACAGCCCAAGCCTTGCAGCTACTGCTGCCTGGGACTGATGATGATCCTGGCATCCTTGCTCCTATACCAGATTGTAAACCCCGGCTTATGCTGTGCAGTAACCTGTCCTACAAGACTTGTTCCTCAGACTGAGGTAGCACTGAAAGGCTCCACAGTAGCAAGACCTGAACGGACACAGGCAACTGCATGTTGTATTTCCCAGGGCCTGGCCGCATTTGAACTTCTGGGGGTTGTGCTGCTGTTTCCCTGAAGGGATTTGGCAAGGGGACTCCCTCCCTCTGGCAGAGCAGTACCCAGCACTACTCATTCACCTAAATAATGGTCCTGTTTTGCTCATTCTTGGGTTTGGATCTGCCCAAAGGACAAACCCACGGACAAAAACATCTACAGAGAGGGGCTGGTGCCGGGGGTGCCCCAGCAACTCTGCTCTGCTTATACTAAGCGGGCAGGCAAGCCCCAGCCCCTCTGTGCCTCAGACAGAAGGAATGAGCACCCTCGCCTCCCACTCGTATCCAGGGATGTGGAGGGCACCTGGTTCCTTCAGGAGCAGGCCTCAGCCCAGTGGAGACAAACTCGATGTGGCTGCATAACACTGCGTTGGGCCGGCAGGGGGCAGTCTAATGTCACTGCTCCGGAGCACTCAGCCCCAGGAGAGCAGGAATGGTAGAAAGGCTTCCTGCCTGGAGACTGGGAATAAAAAATGCAGAAGCCCAGACAAATGTACATCCCACAGGGTGTGGGAAGGGGTCTCTGAACAACCATAACTCTCCACATCTTGAGGGATTTAGAGTTGGGCCATTATACATTTGCTTCAGTCCATGGTGGGGGTTGGCTGGAGGAGGCAGCATCCCCATTGTTAATAGAGAAGTTAAAACTAAACATCCAGCACGGGCTCTGCCTTTTAACTGCTTCCAGTGAGACAAAGGAGGGGAAATCATTCAACCTCACCTCTAGACCTGCTTGTATTGTTTCCATGCAAACCCAGAGTCCGAGTTGCACTACAGCTACAGGGTACATGCTACAGCTTGTGCCAGGGGAGTTGTAGGAGGCTCTAACACAAGCAGAGAAATCTCCCGGGTTCTCTGCTATGCATCTGTAAGAATTTCAGTTTTCAAACTCGGGCAGTGATTCTTCCCTCAGGAGGAGGGTTTGAATCCAGCTAGTCTAATTTGTTGGTCAAGGTTTTCCAAAGTGACTACGGATTTTGCATGTCCACCTGCATGTTCTACAAGATGCCTTTGGCTGAAGTGGAAGGCTTAGCCTCTGAAAATCAGATCCCTGGAAGGTGCTTTGCTTTGGAAAACCTAGGAGAGAAAAAGCACAGCATCTCGCCAAAACCCCCCTACATGGATTTTTCTCAATCTCCCCTCACAGGCGTTGCTTTTTTGGCTGAGCCCAAGCTTAAAGACAAAGTAGGAGAGAGACTGAGAAGAGAAAAAGTGTTTAAATTGGAAGCCAAGCAGCAGCCCAGGGTGTCTATTTTTAATGAAGTTCTTACCATAGCTTTCAGCTTTGGTCATTAGCAAAGTTTTCTCCCTCTCCAGTGACTTCCTATAACAAAAGAAGTCTGTTATGCACAGGCACAGCACACATTATTTCCTTACGCTAGCTTATACATTGGAGGAAAGGCTGCCCCAACAGAAGAGTTATGTATGATACTGAGAATGAGAATGGCCTGCCTTGTCTCTGGGGCAGGGGGTGGGGTGGGGGAAGCAAGCTTAACATCTATCACGAGGAAAGACTTGGTGGCTAGGTGCTTTTCCTCTCTGGACCCTGCTGCGTATGAATGACTTCCCTACTTTAGGGTAGCCTGTTTGAACGCTAACACAATACTCCAACACCAGCTAAAAAGCAAGCCCTGGCCATGATCAGCCCAAACTCGTTTATGCGGTGGTCTTGCTGCTCCCTTGGGATTCAGATGATGGGTCTAATAACAGGCAGGACCCACAGATACTGCTTCCAAGATCCTGTGGGCTCAGTTTGTCCCCTCAGCATGGCTGGCTTTGTGATGGAGGATGTGTGCTTTTCTGATCCAGTATATCCCCACTGGCTGGGTTGTACAGGCCATGTTGGGGAAGGGGTGACGGGAGCATATCCCTGTGAATGGGGCTAGTTTGTGTCTGACACGGTGGATAAACAAAATCTTTTGCTTTTTTGTTTCTGGGTCTCCTCAGTAAGAACCTCCACAGTCCCCCTGGGCAGAAAGTAATGTTTCCCATTTTACAAAAGGGGAAACCTTGGTGTGGGCAAGGGAAGGAAATTTTTACCAGTCACCAAACAAGTCTTCTGCAGCCTGGACTAGAACCCAAGAGTCCTCATTGCCCACCCCCTTGCCCTTACCACCAGAGCAGTTCCCTCCCTTGTTCCAGAGACAAAGATCAAGGAAACTGTCCTTCCTCCCTCCCTTTTCCATGGATACTGGGTTTGCACAAATTCCCTTGCTGGTTCATGGAAAGAATCCAAAGTGTGACACCAGTAGGAACCAGCTACACGACTGCCATGTTCAAAGCTATTAGGACTGCGGACGATATAATAACAAACCCCCCCCATGTATCTTCAGTTGCACAAAATGATTAATTAATCCACGGTTTAAAGGATAAAAGCAAAACAAATCGCCTGCAAGCAGCAGCGGTTCCATTACAGCGAGGACATCACCGCAGCTCCTTTCAGACAGTGCGAATATAAATAAACATGCACCAACAAATTATCTCCCTGCTCTGAGCAGGTTCTGTGGTATTATTGGGAAAGCGGCAAGTGTAATAGGGCTCGTTGTTCCCCTCGAGGCTAAAGCAGGAACTTGTAATGGAAATGGATCCAAGCCTGACTGTACAGTTAGTTAAGTGAGGAGAGAAGGGCAGCCACAAGGCAGGCTACATTAATAGCGGGAGAGGGAATGGAAAGGATCTTAGAAATATGTGCAGCAAGAAGGGAAAAACAGAGTTCAGCCCCATTAGGAAATGGGGAGAAAGACTGGTGGGACTGAGCCCAGGATGCTGCTGTACAACTACTTATAAACCCACTTCGCTTGAGAAATCAAAGAAAAAGGGGCCAATAGGAAGGAGCGGAGACCTCATCGATAGCTGGGCAAGTTTGAGCCTCTGTAGGACTGAATGACACAGCCGAGGGAATAAGCCACTGAGCTTACTATGAATCTATGGAAAGACTTGTTAGTGAGAGGCATGAAGGAAGAAAACACAATCCTGAATATGAGGCTGGGAAAACAGAACTACTACAGTGATTCATACTCGCCAGATCAAGAACTATAACAGTGGAGAAATATTTAACTATTACCCAGCCCTTGTAAGATTAGTTGAAGCACAAGTGGCAGCATTTGATTGCTCTCTTGGTCGAATGGCCTGGTGAGGGGATATCACAGAACTGGGCACCTTCCCTGAGAAATCTGTTCTAAAGCTCCTGGGTAGGAACCTTATTATCACACAGCTTGGGAACTGGCAGAAAGCCTGTGCTCAGGGTAAAGTTAAATGGTTACACAATGAATTTGAGGGCACGAGAGATGTCCATGGGGTTGCTGCTAGGTTTGCAGGGGGAGAGAGATGGGCCTGGTGATATGACTTATAGGAAAAGCAGATGAACTCAGGACAAAACATTTAGTGAGATGAGATTAAGGGAGGGGAGAAGAGGCAGAACTTTCAACAAGTATTAATGAATGTAAACCCCAGCAAAGGAGAGAAATGGAGAATGGTGGCTCCATGTATAACTAGGAGTAATGGTGGGAAATTGAGAGAGAGAGAGCATCTCAAAGGCAATAAGAGCATAATTCTTGGGGACAGTCAGGCCTCCTGCCAAGCCCAGAACCACTGCTGAGACGCAATCCCCTGCTCCAAATCTCACACAGATAGTCTGAAAGTGGCATAGAAGCATGCGTACGCCCAGAACCCCTCTGAACTATGCATCACCTAACTGCCAAGCATGGGCTCAAGTGGAGCTGAAGCAAGTGGGCAGGTCTTGGAAGGGAAACACTGTAGACACAGCATTAGAACTGAAGGGCAGAGCTGTGGAGAGCAGACTGTAAGGAACAGCGGCCATATGGGATGTAAATGGCTCCTATCTTCCTGCATCTAAAATGGAGATTTCAGTTCAGGGTTAGGAGGGGAACAATAGGATAGTAATATGGAAATGTGTCCTGTCAAGGCTGCAAGACCCCAGTTGCTCTAGCACCTCTGGAAGTGCTACAGGACCCAGTCACAAGGTTCCACTCGGCAGCAGAGAAGCAATCTAACCACATTAGGCAGGTTCAGAGATACAGTTAGGTTCTTCTAAACACCTGTGCGAATTGCTGCTGTAAGCAGGTTCCTGCACACACCTGTGCTTTTACTGTGCATGGAATAAAAATTTGCTCCGCATATCCCCTTGAGATCATTCTGACTGGGCTTCAACCACCTGGGGCAGACGCTGGCTATGACTATTCCCAAATCCCTGTAGGCCTATCCAGGCAGAACTCAGATGGTGTAGCCAAGCTGCCTGCTACTATTCAAACCTCTGTTCAGCTCCCCGGCCTCTTTCCTAGCAGCAAAAGGGTCTGAGCTCTGAAAATGAACAGGAAGGCTTCTACTAGCCTTCAGAAAAGAGGGTCAGAGGGTGAAAGCAATCTTAATTTTCTCAACACATCACACCTTCCTTTAACAAGGTAAAAACAGGGCTGCCTGGAGCAAGCTCTAAATTGGGGGCCCCGACATGGCAAGCACTGCAGCAGTAGCCCTATTGTGTTATACCCATAAGCAGTGGATTGAACAAGTGCACAGCAGCTGGCAAGAATACTGTCTGGTTTCTGAAGGGGAAAGGATCACCAGTACCTTTTTTCAGGACTCAGCTCCTCTCTGCGCAGTTTAAAGTCCACCTCCTCCATGTTCTGTCTGCACAAGGCCAGCTTCTCCTCCAGGCCATCGATCTAGAAGACACAGCAGCAGCCACAATCAGCAGCAGCCTCAGACTTCTCTCCACAGGCCAGCAGCTCCACCCTTCCTGGCTCCAAAGAAGGGGTGACAGCCCATCTGCTATCTCTCTCACCTCCCAAATCAAACAAGCCACAGGCTTGCCTGCTGTTCTTACTGGGTTTTTTTTCTCATAGCCTCTAGCCCAAGCAGAATGCATGAAGGACATGGGACAAACCACAGCAAATGGGCATCAGCCACCCTCACAAGTCAGTGAAAATCTCAATCCCAGACAGCCTTTGTGCCAAAGCCCCAGACCAATGACTCCAAATGTCCTCAGCTGGTGCTGGCAATCCCTGGAGAGAAGATAGACAATACCTCTTGTTAATCCTAGGAAAATGGGGCTGAAAGGGACTCCAGGTGGTAAAAGGTGCAGCTCCCACCCACAGGTTAAATTGAAAGGATGCTGAGCTCTTCATACAGAAAGCAGGCCCAGCACACACTCAACTGGTGTTTGGTAGAGTACAACCAGGACACAGTAATCAGCACTGCCTCTGTCCTGCTGAGCACTATCTCCATCCTGCCCTGAACACTTGGCGCCAGTCCCGGTGCAGCAGGAAGCTACTGCAGCTAACTAAAATAACTGGCTATTTGGGGAGCTCATTTATGTTCCAAGAAGCTGCATTCATTATAGGGTGGGAAGGAAAAAAACCTAATAAAGCAAAACCTGGCTGGATAAGCACCCATGAGTGATTGATATGTTTGAGCCTGGGGAGGACTCAGTCAGGAAGGAAGCATGCCAAAGCAGAACAATTCTGCAGGGAATCCTGCCTCTTCCAAGCCTGGTGGCCAAGATTTTAGGCGTCCTGAGGGAAAGCTCTGCCTTATAGGTTTGCAATCCAATTGGGGAAACACCAGGGAACAAAGAACTTGTTAATAAGTTTGAAAATCATCGCTAGCCCTGCTGCAGCCACAGCCCCGTGCAGTCCACAGGCTGCAGAAGCAGGGCTGAGGCCCAGCAAGCTGCTGGAAGGACCAGGCCTGCCCTGTTGGCCTGGTGAGATGCTTCAGAACCTGGGAGCTAGCAGGCTGCATCAAATAACCTAGTCGAATTAAATGCAGCTGCCTTGGACTGTAAAGGCCAAAAGGACTGGTGCCCAGCCACAGTGGAAGTGCAAAGGAAGAACACTGCCACCAATAATTACACAGGGAAATCAATAACTCTGATCCTTGATTAGCCAGTTACAGCTCAATCCTGGGCTAATTAACAATTCTCAACACTCTGGGAAAGCACACATAGGCTATGGCAGGGGCTGTCAAGGGAAGGGCAGCTGAGCTGACTGCATATAGCAACGGGGGCAAGAGGGGATTCAGGCAAGTGGCTCAGCAGAGAGCAATAGGAGGGAGCATGATGGAGCAGAGGTGGCTCTCACTGCAGCAGGGCATACACACCTCTGTCTTTTACAGGACTCCAGGTTCCAAGTGAGCAGCAGACATGTGGCTGCTGAGCTAATATGGGTTAAACTCCTGGCAGGCATCTCCAAAGAAACTGCAGAGCTGGGTAGTAATTCCATCCGTTTTAATTTCACTTAGTCTAAAATAGTGGTACTCAACCCCTGCACTACAGGTGCCCCTCCCAGACCTGCAGCAATTAATGCTCCCACTGCTCCCCCACTGCCAAACTTCCAGAGCTGCAAGGAGCCCTGCAGGCCAGATGACATGGCTGTGCATGCCAGACTGTGCTGGCTGTGTGGTGTCAGTCCACAGCAGGATCTGACATGCAGGGCTGGGCCAGCGTGCAAAGTTGTATGCATTAACTGACTGTGTGCTGCCCCTGGCTTAAATCAGGCCCTCAGACTGACCCTCTGCATGGGATCTGGCCTGCAGATTGGCCCAGCCCCACTCATCCTGCCCATGGGGTCAGTAAGTTGAGTGCCAGTGGTCTAAAACAAAGGTAGGCTCCTACTGCTCAAGGAGGGGCAGGAATTCACTGTTCAGAGCCACACAAATGGCTCTGCTGATCTTGGGGCAAAGAAATGGGGGCAAAATCTGCAGCACACACAGGGAAAGGGGAAGATCATTATGGTAGGACACATATCTCTTCCTCTGAAATCCTCCTTTTCCCCAAATTGTAGGCTGTGTTAAAAGGGGACTGGACTCAGTATTTCTGGATTCTGTCCTGTCACCGCTAATGACTTACTACCTCACCTCAGGGGCAGCTGGCATACGTGTCTCAGTTTCCCCACCTGTCAACTGGGGGAACGCTACCAACTTCACTGGGACTAATTGTTGACAAAGTGCTTGAGATTTGCAGATGAAAGGCTCTGGGGAAGGGCAGAGTATGGTTCAGAGAAGGCGTCACTGGCACTATCCTTATACAGCAGGACCACCGCCTTTGCTGGAGAGTTCAGATCTGGGAGCCAAGGCCCTGTGGGTATGATCTACTTTGCTTCCCTGGTGTTCCTGAGGAGTGCTGCTTTTTACCACAACCCACCCACCTGCTGCTGCTTGCATGTGCTATACCTGGAAGGAGGCAACAAAGCTGCTTTGGGGATACCCTGCTGCCACTGCCTTTGAGATCTTTGCTTCTTGCATGCTTGAGGGCCTGCATACAAAAGCATTTCTGGATCGGTATAGGAGCAGGTAGGCAGACTTCAGAGTGGTGCTGCCTTCGGAGTGCCAGAGCAGCAGTTCAGACGTATCGTGGTTGCGTGTGTATTTCTCACTGGCTAAACTGTCCAACCAGCCCCTTCCCTAGATACAAAATTAAAGGAAAACAGAACAGAAATCAGAGCAACCTGATGGAGGATGGCTTCTTGCTGGGGAATCTCCCAGGGGCCCCATAGAAGCTGAAACCACAGAATGAGAGAACCTGTAAAACTTCTGCAAATTCCCAGGGGCAGCTCTCCTAAAAGCACACATGCATTTGAACTAGCTGTGGGTGGAAAGTATTTGTTCCTGTTAACCAAAGCATGGCAAGGCTGGCGAGGTGCAGCCCTGATCTATCAGAGGCCTGTGTGAAACAGGAGGGTAGCAGCTCAGGCTCCTTGCAAAGAACCACCTAGAACCCCCATCACAGCTCAAAATGACCAGGTTCTGAATGGCAGGCAGCCTAGGGAAGGGGTTGTAGAGACTGAATTTCCTCCTTCACCCCTGGTCCCTAGGGCAGGGATTGGGGCAGGGAGGGGGAGCATCTCCCTCCGGAAAAGGGATGAGGTGTAGAACGTGGAAAGCTTTCCCTCTACAGCAGCCTCACCACTGCTCGTCCAGCAGCCAGTTAGAGGATTTCATTCAAGGAGACGCTGTCAGTTAGTGCCAACCTCACTTTAAAACAAGAATCGAAGCAGGAATTTAACATCCAGCACTGTGCGAGCCTTTGGCACGGATACTGCTGTTCCTCCTCAGGTTGCTGTCTTGCTACCTGACTGCCAGCTGTGCTTGGGGAGGAGGCGGTGGGAGCCCAGCAGGTCTGTACATGTCAGTGTTCGGATACCAGATGCATCCCTTGCTATGAGATGCACCACCAGGCACAGAGCCATTTTTGCTGAATCCTGGCTTTGCTTTTGTGCGATCTGGAGGCCTCCTAGAATATGGAGGCTGGGGGTGAATTTTAATCCAAACTGACTTGTATGTTTATTACAAATCTCATTTGCTTAGGCAGTCTTGGGCGGGAAGCCCAGAGCCTCTCACATGCAGGCAGAAAGGGTGAGTGACAGCCCTTCTTACGGAGTTGAGCTGGATCCTTTTTAATACATTTTGTAATGAATTAATAAAAGCTTTCTTCCCAGCAGAAAGGCTAAAAGCACTTTTCAAGAACTGGCATCTGCCCTCTGCCTTCATGAATTCCCAATTAAGATGCTGGAAAACAGCCATATCACACACACGTCGACATCCAACGGTGTTTGGTAATGAGGTTTTCGTCTCCTGAACCTCACAAAAGAGATAAAAGCCAAATAAAAGAGTCAGGGGCAAAAAAAAAAAAGCCTCCTTGAAGCAGCCCCTTGTCACCTGCTGGCAGGTCTGAAGCTGTTCTCTCCATTTCCAAGTCAGTAGTTTCCATGTCCATTGCTTCAGTTGGACTCTCAACCCAGCACAGAATAGACGTACTGAGATTCAGAAGCTAAATTCTTGGACCGAATAGACTGCTTGACAACTTGTTGTGCTCTTACAATAGTTTTGTATGTCAGCAAAACATTTCCTATGCTATTGATAAGTTCAACAGACCTGGAAAGATTGACCAGCCGCCTACTAGCCAAAGGCCTAAGCAAGTTACTAGGTGGAGGCCAATGCAAGAGCATGGCAGGCGGTCTACCAGGAAGATCCTAGTACTGTAGGCCTGAAAGCCACCTTAGCAAAATGCCTATGAAATTTTGTGCCTATGTTATTAATACAAAAGCCAGTAGGTCACAGTTTAGGCTGACCTTTTTATAACTCACATGAGCAAAAAGTTAGAAGATGTGATTTAGCAGTCCAAGACAGCAGGATACAGACAGCAGCCTGACAGAAAAACGACCATTGTGAAAGCCGATTGGTGGATATTTATGACAACCATATCTCGTACATACAGAAGAGAACTGTAAAAAAAGTGTATAAAAACCTAGGGAAAAAACCCCTTAAATTGGGAATGAGCAAAACACAGGAAAAGAAACAACTACTGAACGCGGGTGTGGTGATAGATGCCTGGCCAGCTGAACTCACGACACCCACTGGAAGGCTTGCATAGGAATATCTTTGTTGACTGTTAGGACTTGCTTAGAAGTTGAGCGTTTTATTGAAAGCCCTGCTTAAACACTGGTATTGCTTATGAGTTCAATAAATCAGGATTTGAGACTGGAATAGTCACACCAATGGATTCATTTCCATTCACCCCAACCCTTAACTAAATTAAGTACAACAGTACCTCACCACCAACTCCAGATGCTTGGAAGCAAGTAAATTGGGGTGGGAGGGGGAGTGCTGGGATCGCTACTAGGGTCTAGGACTTGAGCCACGACTAACATCTTTCCTATCAGCTTTCGGCTAGTAGCTCTCTCTCACTTCCACTCTGCAGACTCCTGTAATTATTTCAACAATCAACTATATCCTATTTTTCATAGCCCTGTTACTGCTGTAAGGGAAGCAAGAGCTTCAGCCATTCATCCACCTTCTATTCCTGGAGTCCTTCCTCCTCCACATAAACAGCTCTAGCATCTACCATGGCTGCTCATCATCTTCCCTAAAGCAGAAGAGATGCACCACCTACAAGGTTCTGGGGCATCCTCACAAAACTAAACTTCCCTTGATGGCTGGGGTTTAGGGAAGAGTCTTGCTACCCTCTCTCTGCTGTCAGGGTTCAGGGTAGGTCTGAGGGCTGGTC